GCTGTTCCCCCCCCAACCCGGCACTGAAGCGAGGGACGAGCGGCAAGCCGCTCGGCCCTCGCTATTTCCCTCCCCCCCCAATCTGGCACTGAAGCGAGGGGCGAGTGGGAAGCCGCTCGGCCCTCGCTGTTTTCCCCTCCCTCAACCCGGAGTTTGCAGAGCGTTCCCTGCGCATGTGCAGGGGACGCTCTGTGAGTTTCGGGGGGATTTAAGTATCCCCCCCGATATTTTTTTACAGATTTAGGATTTTTGTGCACACCTGGGGACCGCCCCACGTGTGCACAAAACTCTCCCTCCCCCCCAGGTGCCCCCGATGTGCGGATTTAAGTATCCGCACCAGGGGGCGACTTCAGAATTAGATATATAGATAGGAAGCTTTTTCTTTGCAAGTCTTGGTGACTGCTTGATTTGTGGGTCAGACTCTCACGACTGTTGTCTTTATATTTATTTTCTCACTTCCATGTTGCCATGGCTGTTCTATCTCCATTTTGTTGGCCTTAATTCTCTCTCTCTCTCTCTCTCATCTGTAGCCAAACCACCTATCCTTGGAATGCAAGAAAATCACCCAAACCCCTGTGTGAAAATTGTTCCAGAGAGTACTGGCAATACAAAAGGAGGCAGCGGGAGAAGGAGAATAGGCAGGAGCAGATCAGTTTGCATGAATTAAACTGAGTTTATGAAATGCTGAAAGGCACAGTGCTGGTACAAAAACAAAAGCCCAGAGAGAAATGATCCAAACATGTACAGGTGCAAACATTCTCAGCATTACAATCCAATCATGGCACTCTCTAGGGATAGTCAGGGCTATCCCATTAGATCTCAGAACCTAAGCGGGGTTGGCACTGCCTAGTATCTGGATGGGAGAACTCCAAGGAATACCAGGGTCATGACTAGGGGTATGCATTCGGATCTACCGGAGCCGAAAATATACCCGAAAAATACTGATAAGGTATTTTTCGGGTGTATTTTGGCTTCCCAAATGTAACTGGGTTTTCTTGGAAAAACTGGGGGTATAACCAAATAGATCCGAAAACAGTGGAGAGGCAGTAGCAGATTGTTCCCACTTCTCAGCTGTTTGTAAGGCTTCTAATGCACTCCCTTTAAAGTTTAAAGGGATTGCAGAAGAAAGCCCAAGGATCAGCTGTACTGGGGGGAGCAGACTGTTCCTGCTGGCTCGGCTTGGGGCTGGCTTTTTGGGCAGTCTGGCTGCAGGAGAAGCCAGCCCCAGAAGCTGCTGTGCCACAGGGAGCAGTCTGCTAGCCGCGGCAGGGTCAATCCTGGGGCCAACTTCTCCTACAGTGCGGTTTAGACCATGCTGCAGGAGAAGCCATCCCAGCCAGGATCTGTGTGCGGCAGGGAGAAACCTCCCCCACAGCATGCAGATCCTAGGGCCAGCTTCTCCTGCAGTGCAGTTTAAACCGCGCTGCAGGAGAAGCCAAGCCAGCCCCAGGATTGGACTGGCTTCTTTTTTTAATTGGTACTTTTCGGTTCGGGCCTACTGGACCCAATAAAATTCGGGGTTTCCGAAAAATCCTGGATCTGAATACCATACTGGTATACGGATGTGGGGTTTTTTTTGTAAATACCCCCCCAAAATTGGGACCAATAGACCCAAACCGAAAAACG